TTTTTTTTTGCTGTAGGGCTCATGTGCTCATATGGGTAGAGGGAGGAGAAAGCACCTGTGTAGGGGTGGTCACACCGCAAAACCCCCTCCTCCTTTCTTCTCTCAGGATTTTGGGCGTGTAAGCACACCCACCTGAGGTGTTTTTCACGCTGCCGGATGCAGAACTCTGACTGCGTGGTCGTCCACGTGGGGTCCAGCCACCTTAACCACCGCTCCACCAGTGGCCCTGTTGTCTTTTTAAACAGCTCTGGGCTGATTGTCAGATTGACAAATTGGTTCCTTCAGCATGTCGTTGCTGTGACTCGTTAAATAGCCTTCTGTTTGGACCGCACCAACTTAGACTCAGGTTGGAGGGCATTGTCCATGTACGTAAAGTCACTAAATGGGATTCATGAGAAGACTTCCTGCTTACTGTATGAAAAATCCTCACCCGTGTTGTCTGGGGCACAGATAAGCTAATCACAAGTTTTCCCTACTTTTTCCTTGGAAGAGTTGCGTAGGTTGGACGGTGGCGCAGTGGTAAATTGCAGTGCGCCGTGGGTCTGACCCCACGAGAAGGTTCTTGTTTCCCATCCGTAGACCTCCCTGGGCTCCTGGGCACACTTGCCTAAGATCCAGAGCTGACCGAGGCCAGGGGTGGATGGCGGTGTCAAGACCCTGTTGGAGGCCATGTGTGTATCTCATGCATGAAAGAAAGAAAAAAAGAAACTTTAAGAAAAAGAAGCCTGTGTGACTCACACTTTAGTCATATTTTTTCCTGGGCAGACGTTTCTTCATTTTCCAAAGGGCAATTTTACTCCTAACTTCTCTTTTATCGCAAACCTTGCAGCAACCAAGTAGCATTTTTTTTGGGGGGGGGGGAGAGATTTTCACTGTAGGGCGCGTGCACTCGCCAGACAGACAGAGAGAGACATAGAGACAGAAAGCGAGAAATCACCCCCCAGGGGGGATGGTCACGCCACAATCCCTTCTCCTCCATTCTCCTCTCGGGATCTTAAGCACGCACGCACACGCGCCCGGCGTGAGTTTTAAGCCACCGGGTCCGGGACACGAACCGCGGTCGACTACGTGGGAGTCCAGCGACATAGCCATTACGCTAACTGCTGGTTCCCCCAAGTAGCATTTTCACATGTGTTGGGATGTTCCTTTTTATTGATTGTCAAAATGGCCTCTTAAGAGACATGGCAGTAACTGTGACCTCTGTCTGTCACAGATACCGGATTACAGGAATGCAGTCATCGTGGCCAAGTCTCCAGCCTCTGCCAAGAGGTAGGTGGGATCTCCTGACCTTCCCCTGGGTCTGCGTAAGGATCGTGTCCCGCCAAGGTCCCAGGCGCTCTAATCCTTTATTTTTCTTCCACGGACTCGCATTTCAAGTCGGTTCTGCCAACTCCACTTCATAAGAAAATATTTTAGTTTCCTTTTTCCCCAAGCCCCGTCCATGATGGCCGGTCATATTTCTTGACCAAGGCCGTCGGGGCCTGGGGAGTGTCCGCCTGCTGCCTCCCTGCTCTGGGATTGGCAGCCACTGGTTAATCTTCAAGTCCCGCATCTAAAATACTTCCTCGTTGTTCACTGCCTTTTATTCAGAGAACTCCGTAATTTATTAACAGACTTGCTTCCAGCTGGGAGGCTACTTATTTGTCTGTTAAAAGGTGACATTTTTATAAAACTGAAGCACCGTGAGGTGTATAACGGGGCAGCCCCGAGAGACTCGGTGGAGCGAGTCCGTGTAGCCGACCGTGACGGGTGAGCCAGCGTCACACATGACGTGTCCTGGGTGAGAGGACTGTGTACTGATGTTTGGAGAAGCCACTCCATGTTCAGAGAGAGGAAGAACGAAGTCACATGGGAAGTCAGGCTTTTTCCTTCAACAGCCCTCTTAAAGTTATTTTCCAGTTGAATTCCTTTGCTCGCTGGATCACTGGGACCTATGGCATGAAAGTGTAAGGCCCGTCCACCCCGGCCCGAGAGCTGTTGACGTTCACGGGTGAAGGCGCGCTTACACGTGGGAAGCCATGATTTGAGAAGTGTTGCAGGCCCTGGACTGCAGTGCCAGAAGCCACGGGGCTGGCTGTGGGTTCAGGTGTGTGCACGTGTGCCCAGGGCCCTGCCACGCCAGAGGGCAGGGAAAGGATCACACAGCGCTAGACCCTGTCAGAGGTGCTTCTCTAGCTCGCCTGCTCTCTTTTTTTTAAATTTACTTTCAAAATTTCATTTTCTTGGGAACCAGCAGTTGGCGTAATGGCTATGTCGCTGGACTCCCACGTAGTCGACCGCAGTTCGTGTCCCGGACCCGGTGGCTTAAAACTCACGCCGGGCGCGTGTGCGTGCGTGCCCAAGATCCCGAGAGGAGAATGGAGGAGAAGGGATTGCGGCGTGGCCATCCCCCCTGGGGGGGTGATTTCTCGCTTTCTGTCTCTATGTCTCTCTCTGTCTGTCTGGCGAGTGCACGCGCCCTACAGTGAAAATCTCTCCAAAAAAAAAGAAAAAATTTCATTTTCTTTTATACATTCAATCACATCATTTAGCTTTACAAAGTTAATATTTTGTTTTTTTTTTGGAGAGATTTTTGCTATAGTGTGCGTGCACTCGCCAGACAGACAGAGAGAGACAGAGAGACAGAAAGCGAGAAATCACCCCCCAGGGGGGATGGTCACGCCGCAATCCCTTCTCCTCCCTTCTCCTCTCAGGATCTTGGGCACGCACGCACACGCGCCCAATGTGAATTTTAAGCCACCGGGTCCGGGATGCGAACCGCGGTCGACTACATGGGAGTCCAGCGACATAGCCATTACGCTAACTGCTGGTTCCCTACAAAGTGAATATTTCAACATGTGAACATTTCTCCCTCGTCCAGTTGATAAAACTCTAAAATATCTTCAACAGATAATACCATATTTCTCTGTCCCACTAATGCTTTGCCTCTGTATTTTTCTCCTAAATGTCCTTCCTCAGGCCCTCCTCTTCCACACACGCTCTTATACATGTGTTCTCTATCATGAATAAAAGAAATACATTTTAAATACAGACAGTAGTACAGGTAAGTTACTTGACTTACAAATGAAGAATAACTATACGTAGCTGGCCCTTACATCTGCAGATCCCATGTTCATGGATTGAGCCAACCACTAGTCAAAGAATATTAGAAACAATTGGTTGTATCTCTACTGAACATATACTGACTGTTGTTCCTTGCCATTATTCCCCAAATTATGTGGTCTAATAACTACTTACACAGCATTTGCATGGTATTAGGTGTTACAGATTAAGCATCCCTAACCCAGAATCTGAAATACTCCATAATTTGAAACTTTCTGAATACCGATATGACACCACAAGTGGGAAGTTGCCGGACCTGCTCGGCTGGACACGTTTTTCTGTGTGGGGAAGGCGGTGGATTAGAAATAAAAGCAACAACAAACACAAAGACCCACAAGTATAGCAAAGCGAGGATCTGGTGGGCCCAGCTTCTCTGATGGAGAAGTTGCCCGGAACCAGCCTCAAGTTTATTCTTTTGAAGGCAGAAAACGGAGGAGGAAGAGATGGAATGCAAAGCCAGTGGCTTTAGGTTGTAAACCGTCTGAAGACGTGGGACCGGCTGGCGCCATGTAATTTCTCTGACCCTCTCGGGGCAGAATCTGATAAGCACGTGTGGCTTCCTTTCGCCTCATGCTGCCCTATTGGGTTTTGGGTATAGCCAGCAGGAAGGTAACGGATAGCCACAGGCGGGTAGCGTTTCCGTGCGGAAATGCTCTCACAGCCATTGCTAACGAAGCTCGCAGAAGCGCATTTCTGCATGCGTCTAAAGGTCACATGTTTTCTCAGACTGGCCACTCCACAGAGAGCGGCCAGTGACATTTGCAGTCAAATGTTACAGCACAAAAATAATTACCTTCAGGCGTCGTGTGCAAGGTGTGTATGAAACATGAGTGAATTTTATGTTTAGACATGGGTCGCATCCCCAGATATCTCGTGTATGCAAGAGTTCCAAAATCTCAAGGCTAAGAAACTCCCGGTTTTAATGATTTTGGGTAAGGGATTCTCCACCTGTGTGAGTAATTTAGAGATGATTGAGCGTACGCACGGGGACTCTGGCCCAGTGCTCAAGTAGTAGGGTGCACTTTGAGATGCTGGAGCAGCACGGGAAGCTGGCCTCGACCGACCCACACACCAGACACGTCACTGTGGGTTTGTAGTCCTAGCTAACTGGGAGGCTGGGGCAGGAGGATCCTGGCATGGCGTGGCCTTGTCAAAAATACCGCTCTCTTCTCTTCTCTCATGCTCTCTTTGTTCTTATCATTTAAAACACAACAGTTAAAAGTGTATGGAAGGACATGTGTAGGTTATATGCAAATACAACGATACCACTTTACACAGGGGACATCTGCGGGTTTTGGTACGGGTGGAATGGTGTAGGGGTCCTAGAACCGGTACCCATGGGTACCAAGGGACGAGTGTACACTTAGTCTACTAAATAAAATAAGTCAATACTTGGTATAAAGCCATTATCTGTGATAAAACCATTATCTACTGTGTTCTTTTTATTTTTTTTTAATTTTTATTTTTTGGAATGGTTTTGCTATAGGGCGCATGCGCTCGCCAGACAGACAAGAGAGAGACAGAGAAATAGAAAGCCAGAAATCACCCCCCAGGGGGATGGCCACACTGCAATCCCTTCTCCTCCATTCTCCTCTCAGGATCCTGGGCACGCACGCACACGCGCCCGGCCTGAGTTTAAGCCACTGGGTCCGACCTCGTGGGAGTCCAGCGACACAGCCATTACGCTAACTGCTGGTCCCATCTGCTGTGTTCTTGGGGCTGACCTCTAAGATAGCCAGGTCGTCGCCCAGCCACGTAATTCAAGACGCTGCACTGTCTGGTCTCCTGCTGCCCACTTGATTATACTGTAGGAAACTATGGCTCATTTTGGAATGAGAACATTTCAAACAGCTTTTCCAAACATCTGTTCAAAGGCTGAGTTAATTTTATCTTTTAAATGTAATTGTCTCTGAGATACACGCTTTTAAAACTTAAGCTGAAAATCGCATAACATAAATCATTCTGAAGTGTGCCGTTCACGGGCATCTAGTGCATTCACAGCCTGGTGCAGCCACCTGCCTCTACTCCAGGTATGGGGTACTCACCCAGGAGCACCCATACCTGCCCCTCGCGATCACTGCTGTTTCCCGTCTCTCTGGATTTGCCTGTTCTGACATCGCATACAGGTGGACTCACAGAGATCGGCCCTTTGTGTCTGGATCTTTCACTTAGCATAGTGTTTTCAAGGTTGATCCGAGTGGTAGCATGTGTCAGTACTTCATTCCTTTTGATGGCTAAACAATACTAATTACATTCCTATACTACAGTTTGTGTATCCATTCCTCTGTTGATAGGCACTTGTGTTGTTTTTACCCTTTGGGCTGTTATGAGTACTGCACTGGGAACATTCACGTGTAAGTTTCTGTGTGAACGTGTGTTTTGTTCATGGATGGACTCCTAGGATTGTCGTGCTGGGTCGTGTGCAGTTCTGTTTCATGTTTTCTTAGGAACTACCAGGCTTTTCCACAATTCCTGCCCCATTTCACATTCCCACCAGCAGTGTCCGAGGGCTCCAATTTCTCCACATCCTCACCCATCTTATTTTTTGATCTTTAAAAAGTGTAACTATTCTGGGACCAGCAATTAGTGTAATGGCTAGGTCGCTGGACTCCCCTATAGTCAACCACGGTTGGAGTCCCAGACCTGGTGGCTTAAACTCAGGCCGGGTGCGTATGCGTGCGTGCTCAAGATCCCGAGAGGAGAATGGAAGAGAAGGGATGATTGCGGCGTGTCCATCTCCCTGTGGGGCAGTGTTCTCACTTTCTGTCCCTCTGTCTCTCTCTGTCTTTCTGGTGAGCGCATGAGCCCTATAGGGGGAAAAAAAAAACTCTCCCCAAAAAATAGCTATCCTATTGGATGTGAAGGAGTACCTCATTGTAGTCTGATTTGCATTTCCCTAATGATTAATGATATTGAGCATGTGAGTGTGTCTTTATGTGCTTGTTGACCATTTGTACTTGGAGGGGTACTTATACATCTTGTCTTCATTTTATAATTGGGTCGTTTGTCTTTTTGTTTAGTTGTGAGCCTGTGGATACTAGACCTTTATCAGAAAGAGGAATTGCAAACATTTCCTCCCGTTCTGTAGGTTGTCTTTTTAGTTTCTTAGTTGTATTCTTTGACACACTAAAGGTTTTGATTTTATGGAGTTCAGTTTACCTATCTTT